ATAGCTGGAATTCCTTCTTTACTTTTTCCCAAATGGCTAAATGTAAAAACAATACATTAACAGCTGGGGAAAAACCAGGGTTAAACATTTTTATAAATTTGAAATGGCAACAAGCTTTACTTTTAAGCAGAAGCTGTTTTTCTAATATATGACCAAAAACATTTAAAAATAAAGTGGCAGTCAGCCCATACTTCCTTTAGAACTTTTCTGCCCTTATAAATATGCATTTCTTAAACACAAAATAGCATACTATACTTACTTCTTACAAAGCTCCTTTTTTCCATTCAATACATCATGATTTTTTTCCTAATTCAAAACAATCTGGTGGTCCATTAAATGGGTATGCCATAATTTAACCAATTCCCTACTAAGAACCATGAAAGTTGTTAATCTTTAGTTCTCTAAATAATGTCAGTTAAAACCTTTGATATATTCTTGTTCAATTCTGACTTCCTAAATGTCAAACTTCTGCGTCTAAGAGCATGCATATCTAAATCTTCCAAATTTTTATTTATGACTTCTGTTATATACATATACAAGATTTTAACGTTTATGGAATCAAGTTGCTATATTTTAATCATGCTTCAAAATGTCTTACCAATATGTCTTGTATTTTTATAACAGCTTTCCTGAGTTATGATTCACATACCACAAAACTGACCCTCTTAAAGTATACAAGTCAATGGTTACTTGGGTGTATTCAGAATTGTGCAGTTATACTACAACCTATTCCAGAACATTTACATTACCCCACAAAGAAATTTTGTCCCATTAGCACTTACTTGTCATTCACCCCCTCGCCCTAGCCCAGGGTAACCATTAATCTACTTTCTATTTCTATGCATTTGCCAACTGTGGACATTTCAAATCAAGAGAATCATATGATATGTGGCCTTCTGTATGTAAAATATTTCATAGAGCATATTTTCAAGATTCATCCACACTGAAATAGTCTTTATCAGTACCACATTCCTTTTTTGACAGATTGTCCCATTGATAAATATATCAAGTTTTATGTATCCATTCATTAGCTGGTGGATAAGTAGGTTGTTTCCATCTTTTGGCTATTATGAATAATGTTGCTATGAACATTCATGTATAAGTTTTTGTCTGTATTTGTTCCTAATTAAATTTTTAATCCATCTAGAATATAACACTAGCATTTATTTGTTTTCCTTCCCAAAAAACTAATCTACTACAGTGTAGAATCCTAGATTTTTACATCCCCTATCAGATCTTTTAAAATTGTCTTGCACAAATACAACTCAGCATTAATTTTTTTTTCAGCAACTCACTGACACTGCATTCATCTTGATTTTAAAGGAGTGGCTATCCTTCAACACTCATTTCATTAGTTTAGACAATAAAAAATTATGAACACAGTAAGTAAATTGTAAAAAGCATGATGGGCTCTTGATAAATATATAAATCAACTGAAAAAAGCATAATATGCAGTTACATTAAGGAAGAGTCAACATTCAGCATACCATGGAACTCAATATTGGCTAATGCTACAGAAGTCAGTAAAGCATCTACCATGCTGATTTACCTATATTGATTCCTATTCTTACTGCTCTATCAATTTTGATTACTGATTTAGTTCTTTTATTTGCTGAATTTGTCTCTTTAGTCATGTTGGCTCTCCTCAATGTTTGGTGATTGATTGTAGGTTCACCTCTACTTGGATAACTTGCTGGGGATGGTGGTGTGGGGACTGGGGTGAACTGTTACTGTAGTTTGGTCTTAAGCTATTTTCAACCAGAGTGGGATTGCTAAGGATCCCAAATACTGTTCTTTTGGAAACTGATGTTTCTTAGTCTTGCCAGGTTTTACAAGTAATGGGGCAAGGGGATGGGAAATATCCTGTTTTTCCATGCAGATTTCATATTCTTAGAACTTCGATGCTGTGTCAATTATATCACAATAAAATTGAAGGAGGGAAATTTCAGTTGGATAACATATTATTCTAGCACAGGCATTAAATATATGTGGCACAGATAGGAAGAGATGCTTTCCATGAGATTCCCCAACTATTCAGCCTTTTGCCATGGTTTCTCACTTTCCTTCCCAGCTTCCCCATCTCCAGAAGTGGGATACTCTTAGTGTTATACCATTTCCCTGAACTGATCTTTCTGTCATCGGGGATCTCCTCTGGACCTCTACTTTCTGTCTTGTGGTAGTTTCTCAAGTCCTGATTCATCGAAGCTATCCTCTTTGTCTCCACATATGTGTTAAGGGCTTTTTTCATAACTTTAATGCATGTTGTAGGCGGAAGAAATTTCATGTGCTTATACTTCATTCTCTTAAAATTGGAACTGCTACTGATTTCTAGCAGATATTCTTAACTAAGTAATAGAAGATTTCTTTATTCCTAGCTTTTTAAAAGAAGATTTATTTATGCATACAAGAACAGGGGTACAGGTCAGAGGTGCGGAGGGTGAGAAGATTCACCAGAGACAGAGTGGGGAGCAGAACAGGTGGATTAACTGAAATACACTGCTGAGGGGAGCAGAGGGTGAGACAGGAAAGGTCTGCTGAGCCATGTGGGTCACCTCCCTGGCCAGGGATCGAATTCATGCTGCAGTGACTGCGACTGCAGCTAGCTTCATAGTGCTGCTACTTAACCCCTTGCACTACCAGAGAGGCCCCATTCCTAGTTTTCTAAAAGACTTAAACTAAAAAAGGGAAGCTGAGTTTTAGTAGCAAGTTTCAGTGTTTGCTGAGATGCCATGATTTTTTTCTTCTTTAACCTATTAAAACAATGAATAAACATTACTGAACACTAAAAGTGAATTCTGTAAAAATCCCCACTTTCTCTGTCCTCCCTGGTGGCACAAAGGGTTAAGCACTGCACTATGAAGCAATCCACAGCCAGGGAGCAACCCACATGGCACAGCAGACCTCTCTTGTCTCACCAGCTGCTCCCCTCAGCAGTGTGTTTCCGTCAGTCTGCCTGTTCTGTTCCCCACTCTGTCTCTGGTGAATCCTCTCACTCCCCGGACCTCTGACCTGTACCCCAGCTCTTGTATGCATAAATAAATCTTAAAAAAAAAAATCATTGACCATCCATGCCAAATCTAATTTGGGTTCTTCCTATATATATATATATATATATAAAAAATCCCCCCTTTCTCACATTGCACTAGAGTTTTACCATTACTATATGTATATTCAATTTATCAATTGTATTTGAAAGTGACTCAACTATATTTATAACTTAATTGGTGTTTATGGGTAATGCTAACTCTTTCGGGTTTTAGTATCATGGTTCTGCTAACCTCATTATAGGGAAATCTGTCTTTCTCTAAGACAATAATAACAGAATTTTTTTTTTAAAGATTTTCTAGGACTGTTTTTGTGAGGAAAAACTTTTTATACACAAAAATAAAGTGTTTTAAATAATTAAAACCACTAAAAACTAATGCCTCTAATCCCCCCCCCAAAAGATAATAGATGTATTAGTCCAGACATTTCCTATGGAAATGTATGTGCACACATATACAAAGGTACTCATCCTACATGTGCGCATATCTTTTAACAAAATGACATTCTGTTTTGCAGCTTGTTTTGTTTTTTAACAGCTTCATCGTATACTGTCTGAATATGTCATAATTTGTACGTCCATACAAACATTTGTTTTGTTTTATCTGTAGTTTTTACTACCAAAATAAAACTACAAAAAATGCCCCTTTTCAAATCTATTTTGTACTCATTTGTATGTTAGATAAATTGCAAAAAGGGGAATGGATCAAAATGGACTACTTCCATATTGTCTTCCAAAATATTTATACCAGCATACTTCATGGGGCAGATTTTGGTAAGACTTTTTAAAGCATGATGTAATAACTAGAAGTCATAAAAGTGAAGGAAAATAAGTTTTACTACAAAATAATTTTAAAATTCTGCTAAGCAAAAACATATACAAAGTTGGGTTGCTGAAAGCTTTTCCCTTCTAGAAGGAAAAAACTTAAAACTCTTGGGGCCTCCCCGGTGGCGCAGCGGTTGAGCACTGGGTTGCAAAGCTGCCCGCAGCCTCTGCGGCGCCGGTTCGATCCCCGGCTGCTCCCCGGCCACCAGAGGAGGGTCCCACATGGCGCGCAGACCTCTCCTGCCGCCTGCTGCTCCCCTCAGCAGTGTACTTCGGTCCTTCTGCCTGCTCTGCTCCCCGCTCTGGCTCTGGTGAACTCTCTCACCCTCCCGCGCTTCTGACTGTACCCAGTGCATGTGTAAACAAAACAAACAAACAAACAAATAAATAAATAAATAAAAACATGCCTCTGTTTAAAAAAAAAAATTAAAAAAAAAAAACAACTTAAAACTCTTATGACATTTATAATCTAGGATGAATTTAACATCTTTAAAACTAGAAAGATGTTAAGGTCTATAAAGGTGTTATCTATTCATTACTACATTCTTAGAACTAGCACAGTGCCAGGTACATAGGAGCTTGTATTGAATAAATTAAATACAAACAATCCAATTGAAACATGGCCAAAGGAAAATCATATACAAACAAAAAATGGTCAACAAACAGAAAAACATTTCATTTAAGCATTAAATTTAAAAATGCAAATTAACAAACCCAAAACTCTTATGTGATATATAAAACTGGCAAAGTTTAACAAAGGTAACCTAGTTTAATTTTTTGGAGGATAATTTAACAATTCTCTTAAAATTTTAAGTGTGAGTATTCTCTTACCATTAATTGTACTACTAGGTATTTAACTTACAAAAACAACTACACAAGTAAGTATAAAGAAGTTATTTCATTATACCACTGTTGATAGAAGAAAACAATCGGAAGCAAAACAAATGGTCCATCAACCAAGAATTAAGTTGGAACATCTACGTAACAGCAACATAAAAGGCTTCAAAGAGAATGTCTAACTGCTTAAAAGGAAATCCATGTGTGAAGGGAAAAAAATAAGATTCTCCTAGAAAGGATAATGGACAGCAAATGTAGGCTGGAGTTTGGGAGAGAATAAAGGAAGAGTGCATACCAGAAAGGCAGACTGACAGCTGTTCATCATCCACTGGAGATGCTTTTTCACTGTTCTTCCCACCTCCCACTTGATTTTCTAGTTTGAGTCCACTGGTCATCAGAGGAGCCTCCAGTGGGCTTTTACAGTAAGGGTGGTCCAGCAACTTAGAACTAAGAATGTTCTGCTTGAGACATCCATCCTCATCCATCTGGCATGAGCTCTCATTATGAACAGTCTCTTCAGACACAGCCCTGTCTACACTACTCACAGGTTGATCTGCACCAGACACCGGCAGTTCTGCTCTGTCATCACTGATGGTACTTGTCCGATTTTCCTGACCCGGAGTCATAGCTTCTCTTTCAGTTTCCGAGATAAACAGACTATTAGAATGATGTTCTGGTAAGGGGCTATCGTGAATCAGTTCTCTACACTCCCACTTTGGAGAGGAACAGGGTGACTGGTCCCAGGTATATGTGGCACTGCCATTCTGTTGCTCAGGGAATGCTTCATCTAAACTCAGCTCCTTGCCTAAGAAAGGGCTTCCTTTACTGTGGCCATCAGGCACATGAGAGTTCTTTCCCTTCACTGCCGCATCGCTGTCCATATCTGGGAAGCACGGCTGATGCTGACAGGGAGGGTCTTTAGATTCTGGGGAAGGGAATGGGCTGCAACTGGCACCCTCAACGTTCTCCCTAAGGGTCTCCTGATGGTCCCCAGTGACCTGCACCCAGCTTCGCTGGTTTTTTTTCAGCTTGCAAACTTTGCTTTTTGTTCTGAAGTGCTGAGATCTGAGAATCCTGTACCGAAATCTAATCATGGATAATTTCTCATACATCATAAGAGGAGATAATCTTATCCTTCTATGTTGGTTAAGATGGAATTTTTTTGGAATCAGGGATCCCCCATTCCTGTGGTGCTCCAGCCTTTTGTAGCAGCCATAATAAAAGCGTTTTCTCTTATGGTTGCTCAAGGTGACCACAATGGTGCCGCTCTCACCTGGACTCTGGTTCTTCCCATTGAACTTCATGGGAAAGTCAGAAGCTTGTGGCTCCGTCCTAGATCTGTGACCATTAGCCTGATTTATAACACTATTTGCTGGTAGGTCAGCAACTGCCTCCAAGAGACTTTTCTCTCCACAGTATTCATGGTCAGAGTTCTTTGCTGATGACAGCAACTTCTCTGTTTGGAGTTTGAGGAAGGTCCTTGAAATGAAGTGTTTAGAGTCTTTTCTTTTTACTTTAGAGGACATAACATTTTGAGCAGCCACACTGGACTCTGTCTTAGCAAAAAGAGGTTCATCCTGGATCCACGTTTTCTGGATTTGAAGGGCCTTTTTTCTGCACTGGAAATACCTCAACTGCCTGCTCCAGGTAACTGGCTTGCCCAACTTGGCTTTCACAATGCACAAGTGTTGGTGAAAGTAAAACTTCTTAAAGCCTCCAAACCCAGTATTCCATTTCTCAGAAAAGGCTAAGTGAATTCCTTTTCTCCATAGAATTTTTCTCTGTTTTTTCATTTTTCTGATGCATAATGAGATCTGGATGCAGCTGTAAAGATGAGAAAGAAAAGTTACATTTCTACCCTAAAAATAAGGTCATAAAGATAAACATGTAAATTCTGTTTTTTGAAAGTTCACATTCTGCCACTTCCCTTTTATGACAGACCTCCATTATTATCACTTGTTTTCACTGTCTTTTTTAGTGTAAAAGGTAAAAAACTAAAATAGCAGCTCTCCTGTCTGCCTAAGACTACACAGGTGTCACTCTTTTTCTTTCTCCTTTTCCTAATAAACCTGTCATTTTAAAATGTAAAAAACGAAAGTAGGCCTCCCCGGTGGCGCAGCGGTTGAGCGCTGGGTTGCGAAGCTGCCCGCAGCCTCTGCGGCGCTGGTTCGATCCCCAGCTGCTCCCCGGCCACCTGAGGAGGGTCCCGTATGGCGCGCAGACCTCTCCTGCCGCCCGCTGCTCCCCTCAGCAGAGTGCTTCGGTCCTTCTGCCTGCTCTGCTCCCCGCTCTGGCTCTGGTGAATTCTCTCACCCTCTCGCGCTTCTGACTGTACCCAGTGCATGTATAAACAAAACAAACAAACAAACAAATAAATAAAACATGCCTCTATTTAAAAAAAAAAAAAAAAAAAAAAAAACGAAAGTAGCTTACAGCATTTGTTTTGTAGCAGTTGTCAGAGGCTATGCACACTCAAAGCAGCAAGAGCAGCTTCACTAAGCTCTTTCCCCAGGACTACTTTACACAGGTTGTGTATCATATCATTGGTATGATTTGGCAGATTGTTTCGTGTCTGGGAAAGCTAAAATTTTTTCTGTGTAAATTAATGTCAATTGCTTCCTTAACTTTATATCATTTCATCTGATGAAAGGTTTCATAGAACACTCTATGGGGGGAGGAATACATACATTTACAGTAATATGCTAGAAAATTGAAGAAAGAGCATATAAAGTTCATTTTAAACTACCAGACATAATAAAATCCTACCCAAACAAGGTTTGGAAAGGAGGAAGACGAGTATTCCAACATGCCCCAGCTGCTGTGCCTGATTCTGACAAAAATGTTTCAAGAGTCATATCTTGGAATTCATATCCCCAATATGCAGTCAGTTTCTTTTCTTTTTTTAAAGATTTATTTATTTATTTATGCGTACAAGAACTGGGGTACAAGTCAGAGGAGTGGGAAGTGAGAGGATTTACCAGAGACAGAGTGGGGAGCAGAACAGGTGGATCAACTGAAATATACTGCTGAGGGGAGCAGTGGGCGAGACAGGAGAGGTCAGCTGCGGCATGTGAGCAGCTACCTGGCCGGGGATTGAACTCGTGCTGCAGTGGCTGTGAATAGCTTCATAGATTGCGTCTTAACCCCTTGCGCCACCAGGGAGGCCCTATGCAGACAGTTTCTGATGGAGTACACAGTGCAGGGAGTCAGAAGAGAATTTCTAAGTTTGGCCCTGCTAAATGACTTATATGTAAGATGAAGGGTGGAGACCATATACCATATATGAACTTCAGGAACACACCTATGGAAAATGGTAGATGAAAATTAGAGTAAAAAATAAACATGGGGGCCTCCCTTGTGGCGCAGGGGTTAAGTCTCATGCCACTGAGGCATGAGTTCGATCCGGCCAGGGAGCTAACCCACACGGTGCAGCTGACCTCTCCTGTCTCACTAGTCGCTTCCCTCAGCAGTGTTATCTCAGTAGATCTGCCTTTTCTGCTCCCACTTTCTCTGGTGAATCTTCTCACTCCCCGCACTTCTGGCCTACACCCCAGTTGTTGTATGCATCAATAAATTAAAAAATCTTTGAAAAAAAAACCAACATGATTTCCCCTTAGATCTAGATCTGTAAGAGCTAATATTACTAAAGGCTCTTTAGCTAGCTAGAAGAAAAGGCACCAGTCACTACAGGTGAAGTGGAATAAATACTAGACTATGAATAAAAAAACCAATATTCTAATTTCAGCTCGCCAATAACTACAAAAAGCTGTATTACCTTTCTGTGCATCAGTTTTCTTTGGGGGAAAAAGGAATGAATACATGTTTACCTCAGTTTCCTCTTCAAATCCCATTAAGATGACAAAAATGAGGATTTAAAAACAGCCAAAACTCTCAAAGGCAATGAAAAAGGTGATAAGAGCACAAAAATGTTTGAAAGAAGAAAGCAGAGGAATGAGTGGTAACAGACTTAGCAGTCCAAAAGAGCTGAAATCTAAGCTAGCAGAGGAAGCCAAGAAGCAAATTACTGTACCTCAAAAAGGTTCAGGAATTAGAAGCAACAATACTCACGAAGGTCAGAGTATGAAGGTGGCTGATCAAAGCTGAAAGACTTAAACAATTAAGCAATTAAACCCGAAGATCCCTTCTCCCATCTTCAGAGATAACCTAAGTTTCACGTTCCTGAAAGGATAAACCAGGATAGTAAGGCACATGATGCATAGCTGAGGGCAGGGGTACACTGGAAGGATCAATGACTTTACACAGTAAATTCCCTCCTCAACCTTCTTCCCTGTTCAGCTTCTAAGAAAAGTTTATATTCCCAAGGAGGAGATCAAAGGGAGGAAAGGCAGGAGGAGACTGATCATTTAAAGAAAACACCAGGGGGCTCCCTGGTGGCCCAAGGGGTTGAGATGCAACCTATGAAGCTATCCACAACCACTGCAGCACGAGTTCAATCCCTAGCCAGGGAGGTAAACCACATGGTGCAGCAGACCTCTCCTGACTCGCCCGCTGCTCGCCTCAGCAGTGTTTTTCAGTTAATCTGCCTGTTCTGTTCCCCACTCTATCTCCAGTGAATCTTCTCACCCTCCCACATCGATAGCCTATACCTCAGTTCTCGAAGGCATAAATAAATAAATCTTGGGCCTCTCTGGTGGTGCAAGGGGTTAAGCACCACACTGTGAAGCAATCCACAGCCTCTGCAGCACGCGTTCGATCCCCGGCCGGCCAGGGAGCAACCCACATGGCGAAGCAGACCTCTCCTGTCTCGTCGGCTGCTTCCCTCAGCAGTGTGTTTCAGTCAGTTCCTGTTCCCCACTCTGTCTCTGGTGAATCCTCTCACCCCCTTGCATCTCTGGCCTGTACCCCAGCTCTTGTATGCATAAATAAATAAATCTTTAAAAAAAATAAATCTTTTAAAAAAAAAAAAAACCAAAAAACTATATACTTAAAAATGAGAAAATTGGCAAATTTTGTTATGTATATTTTACCACAATGGGAAAAAAAAAAGAGGGATGGCAAAACCAACACTATCTTTTTTAAAAAAATAATTTAAATTTATTTTTGCATAGAACTGGGGTGTAGGCCAGAGATGCAGAGAGTGAGAGGAATCACCAGAGACACAGTAGGGAGCAGAACAGGCAGATTTACTGAAATATACTACTAAGGGTAGCAGTGGGCGAGACAGGAGAGGTCTGTTGCACCCTATGTGGGTTAGCTCCCTGGCCAGGGATGAAGCTCAGTCCTAAGATCATAGCAGTAATAGTGCTGAGACTTAACCCCTAGGCCACCAGGGAGGCCCTCCAATACTATCCTTATAGAAGAAAATAGTACAGCCACTGGAGAAAAAAGAGTAAGATGTCTTTTTTTTTTTTAAAGATTTATTTATTTATGCATAAAAGAACGGGGTTATAGGCCAGATGTGTGGGGGTGAGAAGATTCACCAGAGATAGAGTGGGGAGCAGGAACAGGAGGATCTACTGAAATACAATGCTGAGGGGCATAGCAGCAAAACAGGAGAGGTCTGCTGCACCACATATGGGTTAGCTTCCTGGCCAGGGATTGAACTCATGCCGCTGTGGCTCATGATTGCTTGACAGTGCTGAGACTAACCCCTGCGCCACCAGGGAGGACGTGTTTTTTTTTTTTTTTTTTTAAAGAACAATCAAAAACAATAAAGCGGCCCTGAAAATTAAAAGTAGAAATGAAAAACAATAGAAAGTAAAGAGCTAAATATCTCTAATATAAAGAACCCTTTATACTGAGAGAAAGAACAGAATGTCTGAAGTAAAAATGGGAAAAAGACATAAAGAGAAAATTCTCAAAGATTTTTGAGGCCCTTAAACATAAGAAAAGATGTTCAATTTCACTCATAAGATATTGGTAAAAATTATAACACCTGTTGGTCAGGGAATTATAACATTCTGTTGGTTAGGGAAAAGGACTTTCCATAAACTGCTGGTGGGAATACAAATTGATACAGTTCTTTTGGTTGGAATTCAGCAGTATCTAACTAAACTACAAAAGTATTTGCCTTTTAATTCAGCAAACCCACTTTCAGGAATTTACCCTGAAGATACAGTCAATAATGCAAATACATACAATGCAAAGTTCTTTGCTGCAACTGTAAAATACTGGAAACAACACAAATGCCAGTAGACACGGGTGCTGAATAAACTATGTTCATCCTACAATGAAGTTATAACAGAATAAGGATGAGCTCTGTGAACTAACACAGAGTCATTTCCAGGAGTTTAACAAAAATAAGATCACCCTCATTTCTGAAAACTGCAAGTTTGAGGAATTCCAAAAACCATCCTCAGATTTGGTAACTTGCCAGAGTCAATGAAAAGTATTATATTAATAGTTATGGATTATGAGTGCTGAAGAATATAAACTAATGTCCATATTAACCAAGTAAAGTAATAGCTAAGTAAAAAAAAGATAATAACAAAAACAAAGAGAAACCCCACCGACTGGGAGAACATTTTTGCACACAACACTAATGATAAAGGACTGATCACAAAAATCTGCAAAGAGCTGATGAGACTCAACAACAACAAAGAAAATAATCCTGTCAAAAAATGGGCAGAAGAGCTAAAAAGAAACTTCTCTGAAGAGGAAATGCAAATGGCCAACAGGCATATGAAAAAATGTTCAACATCACTTGTTTTTATTTATTTATTTATTTTTATTTATAGAGGCATTTTTTTTTTTATTTATTTATTTGTTTGTTTGTTTTGTTTATACATGCACTGGGTACAGTCAGAAGCGCGGGAGGGTGAGAGAATTCACCAGAGCCAGAGCAGGGAGCAGAGCAGGCAGAAGGACCGAAGTACACTGCTGAGGGGAGCAGCGGGCGGCAGGAGAGGTCTGCGCACCATGTGGGACCCTACTCCGGTGGCAGGGGAGCAGCCGGGGGCGCCGCAGAGGCCGCGGGCAGCTTCGCAACCCAGCGCTCAACCGCTGCACCACCGGGGAGGCCCTCAACATGACTTGTAATCAGGGAAATGCAAATCCAAACTACCATGAGATACCATCTTACACCAGTGAGAATGGCACATATTAAAAAAACTAGCAACAACAAATGTTGGCCAGGGTGTGGAGAAAAAGGAACTCTTCTGCACTGTTGGTGGGAGTGCAAACTGGTCCAACCACTATGGAAAGCTGTGTGGAGATTTCTGGACCTACTAAACATAGAACTTCCATATGATCCAGCAATTCCACTCCTAGGTATTTACCCAAAGGACAGAGAAACATCAATTCCAAAGAGCACCTGCACCCCTATGTTTATAGCAGCACTGTTTACAATAGCTAAGCTTTGGAAACAACCCAAATGCCCAAAAATAGATGACTGGATCAAGAAGATGTGGTACATATACACCATGGAATATTACTCAGCATTCAAAAAAGACAAACACATGCAATTTGCAGCAACATGGATGGCGCTGGAAGGGATCATGCTCAGCGAAATAAGCCAGAAAGAAAAAGAAAAATACCGGATGGTCTCACTCATAGCAGGAATCTAGAAAACTTAAATAAGGGACCAGGAAAATGAATATAAGAAAGTGAAAATCAAAATCAACAAAAAACTATGAACCAGAGACACTCTATGGGGGGTGGGGGGTGGGGAGGGGAGGGATTGGGGTCAAAATAAGGGGGTTGCAATTGTATGGGGAATATAAAAATAAAATTTATTTAAAAAAAAGAAATAAAATAAGTCAAATAATTAAAAAAAAGTAATAGGGCCTCCCCGGTGGCGCAGCGGTTGAGCGCTGGGTTGCGAAGCTGCCTGCAGCCTCTGCAGCGCCAGTTCGATCCCCGGCTGCTCCCCGGCCACTGAAGGAGGGTCCCACATGGCGCGCAGACCTCTCCTGCCGCCCGCTGCTCCCCTCAGCAGTGTACCTCGGTCCTTCTGCCTGCTCTGCTCCTCACTCTGGCTCTGGTGAATTCTCTCACCCTCCCGCGCTTCTGACTGTACCCAGTGCATGTATAAACAAAAACAAAAACAAAACAAATAAATAAATGAAAAACATGCCTCTATAAAAAAAAAAAAATAAATAAAAAAAAAAAAAAAAGTAATAGCTAAGTAAAGAAGCACACAAGGCAGAGTCCAGGAGAAGTACTAATTGCAGAGTTTCCAGCTGTCCTTTCTCCATGGAGCCATTATTCTCCCAGCACAGATGTATGACAACATGTGCAGAGTACTACCAACCAGGGAAGTGCACCCAAGTCTTGATGTACGGAGTTTTTACTGTAGTTCACAGGCATAACTGATTACCCAATGACTAAGTTCGGTCTCCAGCCCCTCTGGAGATCCACTAGTTCCAAAGTCATCACATGAAATCACATTGTTAGTCTTTGTTGTATTGTCCACATCCTAAGTCACACTGTTAGACTGTAATCATCCAAGGCCCCCAGGTAAATAAAGACCCTCTAATCAAGCATAACATTCCAGGGGCATAGAGATTACATCCCAGAAGCCAAACAGAAAGGTTTTCTTTTGGAGCAAAGTCTTCTTTATATAAAGTGACCTTTCATAAGAAAAAAAATAGGAAAATGCACATGCATCTGCTACTGGGCCACCCCCCAACCCTGCCCGAAAAAAGACAAAACAAAATGAAAATAAACATAGGAAGGTTAAACCAAAAACTAATGCGAATGGTTACCTACAGGTCATGGTAGGTGGGGATAGGGTGGAAAAGAATGGGAAAAAGGACAGAAGGAAAGAAATAGGAGTAGCACTTCTCTGCATATGAATTTTTGTAAAACTCTGACTTTCTGAACCATTTAATGCTTCATATATTTAAAAAATAAATAAATGATTAAGTTATATCTCCAGTCCCTTTGTAGTTTCACTAATACCAAAGTCATCATCTAAAATCACATTGTTGGTCTTTCTGATGAGACTGATCTCCATCCTAACTCATTTTGGTAAAAGAATCATCAAAGCAATTTTGGAAAACATTACTTTAACTAAAGAACACTAAAACCAAAGAACTAGACATAAATATTGCACATTAGTTAGCAAATATGTTTTTCACAGAGGAACAATTAATTCTGAATCAACTTTGAAGGTATTCTAAAATTAAGCAAGTAAGAAAAATATGTTCTGGATATTGTGAGCTTTCTCATTGTTGGTGAAAGGCGTTAGATACTGAAAATAGACAAAGAGATAGCTG